CCCCCCAACCTTTCACCACCTATGCTTGTCGAGCAGCAGCCCGCACCGCCGACCTTACCTTCCGCTCGCGAATGAATGGCTTTTTTTTCATGCATTCGGAAAGAGCCTCAGTTACGGGCCGCCGTCACACGCCACAGCCTGCCGCCATACAGCCGCCTTTTTTTTTCCACCGCCGTGTCCTTTCTCATTTTCGGCGAGCAGGGAAAACCGCTTGGCCAGCCCCACCCCCCACCCTCCGTAACGTAACGCGCGAGTCACCTTTCTGTTGCAGATCACAAATGGAGGTGAACGAATTCAAGGACATGGCCAAGGAGATGGTGGACTACATCGGCAACTACCTGGAGAATATACGTGATCGGTAAGTGTGCGTGCCGGGCCGGGGCCTGCAGCGAGGCGAGAAGCCCCCGGGCCGGAAGTCCCCGAGGAGAGTGGCCCGACCCCGACGACGACCTGACCACCACCGTCGCGCTGCCTCGTTTTGCAGGCAGGTGCTGCCGACGGTGCAGCCGGGCTACCTGCGGCCGCTCATCCCCGCCGAGGCCCCCGAGACGCCGGACGACTGGAAGGACGTGATGGGCGACATCGAGCGCGTCATCATGCCCGGTGTGACGCACTGGCACTCGCCTCGCTTCCACGCCTACTTCCCGACGGCCAACTCGTACCCCGCCATCGTGGCCGACATGTTGAGCGGCGCCATCGCGTGCATCGGCTTCACCTGGGTGAGCAGCACTGCTGGCAGCGGGGCGGGGCCACGCACTTGGTGGTGGGGATCAGACTACAGATTTCAATTTGCAGAAAAGAAAAATAAATTTTTACCTTTGAGGAATTTCTCTTCCAATTCTTCTAGATTTTGGCAGATTTTTTTTTCAAATTTTTCTGAAATCATTTCAAAATTTTCCAGTTTTCCAATTTTTCAATTTACCGGAAAAATTTTAGAGTTTAAGATCACTAATTCAGACAAACTCATTCTCCCGCTCTCAGATTGCCAGCCCCGCGTGCACCGAGCTGGAGGTGGTGATGCTGGACTGGCTCGGCAAGATGCTGGACCTGCCGTCCGAGTTCCTGGCGTGCAGCGGCGGCAAGGGCGGCGGCGTGATCCAGGGCACGGCCAGCGAGGCCACCCTGGTGGCTCTGCTGGGCGCCAAGGCGCGCGCCCTGCGCAAGGCCAAGCAGGAGATGCCCAACCTCACCGAGGCCGAGATCGTCGCCAAGCTCGTCGGATACGCGTCTGGTGAGTAGTCTGGAAGAGGTTGTTGCCGTTGGGAAAACCATAGCGGGAATAGTAGTCGGCATCGCACGCCGGGCACGGCACGGCACGGCGGCGGCCTGCCGCCCGCTCCCCCGCGGAGCCCCTGCGGACTGTAGGGTAGGCAAGCCCGGCGCACACCCGTGCGCATCGCACCCGGGCATTGCCTACATGTCGCCTGCCGGGTGGTGACCCTCGCGCCGGGCAGGCGCCGGGCAGTGCCGGGGGTTGGCGACAGTTTATCGTCGCGACGAGGAAGGAGCCGGGGGTAAGGGGGCGCCGCGGTAAGTGAGTTACGCAGCACCATCAGCTCCGAGCTTGATGTCATTAGCACGCGCAGAGAGTTCGAGCCGCGCTTGGCGAGTGCGGGAGAGACGGGGAGGGAGGGGGGCGGGGGGCAATAGCAACAAAGTGGCTCGTGACCCCTATATTCCGGGCCCCCTGCATTAGGCAGCGATTGTTCTCTGATCAAGCATTGAGCTCACCCGCCCCCGCCCAACCCTGTTGCAGACCAGGCGCACTCCTCCGTGGAGCGCGCGGGGCTGCTGGGCGGCGTGCGCCTGCGCCTGCTGCCGGCCGACGAGGACACCTACGCGCTGCGCGGAGACACGCTGCGCCAGGCCATCCAGAAGGACCGCGCCGACGGCCTCATCCCCTTCTACGTCGTGGCCACCCTGGGCACGACGTGCACGTGCGCCTTCGACAACCTGGAGGAGATGGGCCTCGTGTCGGAGCAGGAGCGCGTCTGGTTGCACGTGGACGCCGCCTACGCCGGCTCCGCCTTCATCTGCCCCGAGTTCCGGCCGCTCATGGCCGGGCTGCACCGCGCCGACTCGTTCAACTTCAACCCCCACAAGTGGATGCTCGTCAACTTCGACTGCTCGGCCATGTGGTGAGAACTAAATGAGACGCTATACGCTAGGGTGGTTCAAACCCGAAAAGTGTTTCTTTTTGTGGGGGCGGACACGTCAAAAGTTTTGTTTTTTTATGCAGATTCCGAAAAAAAATACCTCAAAAATCTACGACAAAAATTAGGGGTCGCGCAGGAGGGTTGAAGTTTAACATAGGTTTCTTATGGGAGTTAGATGTTAAAATTTGAAAATCTGGCCTGGACCCCACAGTTTATGTTGGAGAATTTTTCTTTGCGAAATTCGTAATGTACGTCGAAAACCGAGTTAAACGATGTGTGGCACGCCCCCCTGCGCCTTTTCGTTCCGGAATAAAACATATGTAGATACTACCAAAAAAGGCCAAAAATAGCAAAATTTGCATGTTTTTAATCCGGAACGAAAAGGCGCAGGGGGGCGTGCCACACATCGTCTAACTCGGTTTTCGACGTACATTACGAATTTCGCAAAGAAAAAATTCTCCAACATAAACTGTGGGGTCCAGGCCAGATTTTCAGTTTTTAACATCTAACTCCCATAAGAAACCTATGTTAAACTTCAACCCTCCTGCGCGACCCCTAATTTTTGTCGTAGATTTTTGAGGTATTTTTTTTCGGAATCCGCGTAAAAAAACAAAACTTTTGACGTGTCCGCCCCCACAAAAAGAAACACTTTTCGGGTTTGAACCACCCTAGCTATACGCAGAGACGGGAAACAGGCGTTGACGCTTTCGTCGTTGGCATTTATTCGCGTTGATTGGGCTCGGATTATGCATTCGCATTTCGCATTCCACCTTG